TTGTTGCGATTCCAAACAAACGATTTTTATGGTGGAAAATTGAGTGTTTATAAACNCTTAAAAATGTTAATGACGGGTTGAAATGTTGATAAAATTTAATAATTTTTTTTTCAATGCAAAGAACAATTCTTTCCCTTTGTAATGAGCCTAAACGGAGCTGAATTGATAAATTTGTTTCTGAGTTATGAGTAATTAAAACAAAAGTCTAAAGTGTCCGTTTTACCTCACTCGCCCCTATTCAGCGTCCTTTAAATTACATTTTGCACAGAATTGTTATTTTTTCAAGATTCGTTGTTTATAAACAAGTATTGAAATTGTTTAAACTTTCGGAATCTCTATTATTCTAGGCATGAAATCGATTTCTGATAAAATTCTGAATATGAATAAATTTGTTGCGATTCCAAACAAATGATTTTTATGGAAAATTGAGTGTTTATAAATTATTTATAGAAAATGGTCATAACTTTAAAAAATTGCAATTTTTTATTACCTAAACTTTCTAATTTATTTCCAGATTTTTTTAATGATTTCTAACGGTTCACTATCGAGATTCAAATTGAGACCTGCAAATTGTAAATAATAAACTCATTGTCAAATGAAATTCACTCTCAAACGAAAGCTCAAATGAAATTTCTGATGAAATTCTGAATATGAATAAATTTGTTGCGATTCCAAACAAATGATTTTTATGGTGGAAAATTGAGTGTTTATAAATTATTTATAGAAAATGGTCATAACTTTAAAAAATTGCAATTTTTTATTACCTAAACTTTCTAATTTATTTCCAGATTTTTTAAATGTTTTCTAACGGTTCACTATCGAGATTCAAATTGAGACCTGCAAATTGTAAATAATAAACTCATTGTCAAATGAAATTCACTCTCAAATGGAAGCTCAAATGAAATTTCTGATGAAATTCTGAATATGAATAAATTTGTTGCGATTCCAAACAAACGATTTTTATGGTGGAAAATTGAGTGTTTATAAATTATTTATAGAAAATGGTCATAACTTTAAAAAATTGCAATTTTTTATTACCTAAACTTTCTAATTTATTTCCAGATTTTTTAAATGTTTTCTAACGGTTCACTATCGAGATTCAAATTGAGACCTGCAAATTGTAAATAATAAACTCATTGTCAAATGAAATTCACTCTCAAATGAAAGCTCAAATGAAATTTCTGATAAAATTCTGAATATGAATAAATTTGTTGCGATTCCAAACAAATGATTTTTATGGAAAATTGAGTGTTTATAAATTATTTATAGAAAATGGTCATAACTATAAAAAATTGCAATTTTTTATTACCTAAACTTTCTAATTTATTTCCAGATTTTTAAAATGTTTTCTAACGGTTCACTATCGAGATTCAAATTGAGACCTGCAAATTGTAAATAATAAACTCATTGTCAAATGAAATTCACTCTGAAATGAAAGCTCTGCCGTTGGACAACAAAACTAGAAAAGCATTCCACTGGAGAAAAAACAGCCAAAGTACTTGGATATCCTTAAGGAGCGACAGACAAAAACGCGAACCCATCTCCAACATTCAATCCCTAAATAACCAAATAAAAAACCCGTCCCTGAAATTTCCCTTTTCTCCACCACCGAACAATATCTTTTTAAAGGGAAATCGAGAAAACCTCGCAAGTCTCAATTGCGGTGAAATTCCGTGTCTCCGCATTCCGTTTCTGTTCCCCCCTTACTCGGAATTAAACGTTCCCCAATTGTTAAACATTTTCCCTCGTGTGGGAAAACACCGGTGGAAACTCCGTCTGCGTTGCGCGAGGAGGGGCTGAGAGGAGGTACCGAGAGCACTTGGAGGATAAGATGCCATTCAAAAGGGTCACTCACCGTACGCTCAAGGTCGCCGTGGACCTGTCACATCCTCAAAATAATCACTGATTAATCCTTCAAGTGGCCTCCTTGCACACGCGGTTTAAACGCTTTCGCGTAATCAGTCGGGTTTAGCACTCCGGGTAATTTCGGTGGTTTTAAAAATATGTAAAAACCGCACACTCGCGACCACTGGGTTGAGAAGGCACACCACGGAACAGTTGTGACTTGAGCGGCGTCCAACACCATACTATAGATACGCTGGAGTCGTGGGACGGTTCACACACATGGGGACGTCCTACTGGGGAGACGCACACGCTCCAATGGGCCTCGCGTATCGATGGAGCGGTTGGACGCGCTGGAGTGCACACCGTCTACAATTTCGTGGGGTTTTGAATTGTAGAGGGCGCGTTTATTACTTCATCCGGGCTTTCTTCGAAGAGTTTTCAAGGACAATTGGACATTTCGGGGAGGGGCGAGGGCTTTTTCGAAATTTTTTGGAGATTTTTTGGGGCTTCTAGGGGCGGTGGAGGGAATTTTTTTAGAGGGGGTTTTTTGCGGTTATGGGAGGCTGTTTACTTATCGATTGAGACTATATTTTTTTTATATCAATATAATTATGGAATCATTATATTAATATATTATTTTTATTATTGTACTGTATTACTTTACTATTAGTTTATTATTGTATTGTATTTTTATTATTGATTGATTGATTGGTTTTTATTATTATATTATTCTTTTAAGAAGAAAAACTTGGGAAGTTTTTCTTTCATATGAACAAAATACTCATTCGCATGCAAAGAAACAAAATCTATCAATTTTGCGTGTTTACTACTCCATCTGCGCTTTCTTTGAAAAGGTTTCAAGGACAACAGGATATTTCGGGGAGGGGCGAGGGCTTTTTTGAAATTTTTTGGCGATTTTTTGAGGCTTCTAGGGGCGGTGGAGGGAATTTTTTTAGAGGGGGTTTTCTGCGGTTATGGGAGGCTGTTTACTTATCGATTGAGACTATATTTTTTTTATATCAATATAATTATGGAATCATTATATTAATATATTATTTTTATTATTGTACTGTATTACTTTACTATTAGTTTATTATTGTATTGTATTTTTATTATTGATTGATTGATTGGTTTTTATTATTATATTATTCTTTTAAGAAGAAAAACTTGGGAAGTTTTTCTTTCATATGAACAAAATATTCATTCGCATGCAAAGAAACAAAATCTATCAATTTTGCGTGTTTACTACTCCATCTGCGCTTTCTTTGAAAAGGTTTCAAGGACAATTGGACATTTCGGGGAGGGGCGAGGGCTTTTTAGAAATTTTTTGGAGATTTTTTGGGGCTTCTAGGGGCGGTGGAGGGATTTTTTTTAGAGAGGGTTTTTTGCGGTTATGGGAGGCTGTTTACTTATCGATTGAGACTATATTTTTTTTATATCAATATAATTATGGAATCATTATATTAATATATTATTTTTATTATTGTACTGTATTACTTTACTATTAGTTTATTATTGTATTGTATTTTTATTATTGATTGATTGATTGGTTTTTATTATTATATTATTCTTTTAAGAAGAAAAACTTGGGAAGTTTTTCTTTCATATGAACAAAATATTCATTCGCATGCAAAGAAACAAAATCTATCAATTTTGCGGGTTTACTACTCCATCTGCGCTTTCTTTGAAAAGGTTTCAAGGACAACAGGATATTTCGGGGAGAGATGAGGGCTTTTTCGCCATTTTTGGAGATTTTTTTTTAGTTTTCTAAGGGGTTTGAGGGAATTTTTTTAGAGGATGTTTTTTTTTCTGTTATGGGAGGCTGTTCACTTATCGATTGAGACTACATTTTTTCATATTACTATAATTATGGAATCATTATATTCATATATTATTTTTATTATTGTGCTGTATTACTTGACTATTACTTTATTATTGTATTGTATTTTTATTATTGATTGATTGATTGGATTTTATTATTATATTATTCTTTTGAAATTCAAGAAAAAAAAAATTGGAAAGTTTTTCATTCATATGAACAGCAGATTCATTCGCATGGAAAAAAACAATATCTATTAAGATCTTTTTGGGGGGGGGTTTGGATTGTAGAGTCTGCGTTTATTGCTTCGTCTGCGGTTTCTTGGTAGTTTTCAAGGAGAAAAGGACATTTCGGGGCGGGCAGCAGGAATTTTTCGAAGGGTTATTCGAAAAGAGGGAGAGGAGTCACGATTTTTTTTTCGCAATTTTTTTGGAGACGTTTTAGGGTTTTCTAGCGGGTTACGAACGCTGTTTTAAGGGTGTTTTTTTACTGGTACGAGAGATTGTTTACTTATCGATTGATGTCAATTGAGCGGAAGGGTTTTTTAACGCGCAGGTCTCGGAATTCCTGGAAAAAAATGGATAAAGGTGATGAAGTATCTAGGAAATGTATATTCAACAGAAAAATCTAGTATTATATTATTTTTTATATCAATATAATTATGAAATCATATTATATTATAATTTTTTAATTATCGCCCTTATTATATTATTCTTCTGAAATTCCTTCTTTAGAAATTCTTGGGGATAAACTCTCTGAGTTTTTTTCAAGAAAAATCGAAAATATTCTCCGGATTTTCCAAAATAATTTTGAATCCTCTTGAAAATTCGAATAAAGACGATGCAAATGCTGCAACAATCACCGCAGCAACTTCAGAAAATTGTATAACTTTCCGGAAAATTCTTAAACCTTCTGGAGAATTCTAGAAATTTAGTGAGTTTTGGAAAGATACGAAAATTCTTTTCTAAAAATAAGAAAATCCGAAGCTTTCCCAACAAAAAAATTGAGAAAATGCGGTGGTTTTCTGCGAAGTAAAAACAACAAGAATATCTACGCGAAATTACCGTCGTATCAAAGCTACAGCCATCTGCAGATTTTTTTTCTGTTTGGTCTGACGGGTTCCAAGGAGATTTGTTCCAGGATGTTGTTTTGTCGTTATGGGAGGCTGTTTACTTATCGATTGAGCGAAAGGGCTTGTTAACCTTCTGTGTCAATGCGCAGGTCTGAAGAAGTTTGAAAAATAGTAAAGTTGAGACGAAAAAGTGTGAAATTTAAAGAGAAGTATCTTTAGAGGAGATTTTTTTGAGCTGGAGGTTTTTCTGGGTTTCGAGGAGGCATGCGGGAGGTTTGGAGGAATACTTACTGTGCTGATGTTAGTTCCAAGACTCCGAGGAAGAAGCTGGAGTCTCTGGAGAAGTTTGCGGAGAGGTTTAAAGGGAAATGTTCAAAGGGGATTTTGGAGAAGTTGAGGGAACTTGTAGGGGATCCGGTGACGGAGAATAGTACACCGTGGATTGATAAGCTACTTCGTCAGTTTCTGGACGAAGTCGGGAGTAGGGGATTCGTATCCTTGATGAATGAGTGGTGAAAAGGGTCATGTGCGCTGAGAAAAAAAATTATTTTTGCCAAATGTTCATTTACTTCAGAGAAGCATTTTTTTCAAAATTGTATTTTGTCAATCCCAAGGGTCTCAGAGCGCTTTTCTCACGTGTGTCGAACACTATTTTTCATCACAATGTGTAAAATTTTACTTTACGCACAAGTGAAGAAAATGAGTTTTTTCATTTTAGTGTATTATTTATTGTTTTGCGAATATTTTCCGAGTGAAGAGTTGTACGGAAGCTCCTCAAATGTCCTTTTATGTAGCCCATAAAATTTCCTACAAAAAAGTTCTTTGATAAATTCACCTAAAGCTCTTCACTCCGAAGATATTTTTGAAAGATCGAACGAAAATTTTTTCGTTCTTTTTCTTCCACAAATATGTTTTTATGGTCTCCTCAAATCTCTTATTATAGAGATTATTTAACAATAGGAAATGAACAAAATAAATTGAATTGACCTAGACGATTTTACCTAGGAATGATAATTAATTGCTTCGTGAAGAAAGTTGCTCAGATAACTTTATTCATCCGAGTTTATGGTTTTATGATTTTTTCGGAGTAAAAATGTTTACAAAAATTCGACAGAGAGCCGTTTTTGTAGCCCATAAAATTTCCTGCAATTTTCTGTAAATTCTCGATAATCTCTTCGCTCTGAAAATATTTTTAAAAAATCCAAAGAAATTTGTTTTCATTCCTTTTTTTCACAAATATTTTTTTCTGATACTTTCTCGTCAAATCACTTATTATAGAGATTAGTCGCAATTGTAGATCAATAAGATGGATTCAATTGACACAATTGATTTTATCTTTTCCATGAAAAAAAAGCTGATTAATTAATCATTTCATCAAACAAATTTCTGAAAAATTAGGGTAAACATCTCCTTAACTCCACGAATAGAAAGTTAAAGACTTGCCTGACATCGTGATAGTCCTGGAATTCCTAGGATGGAAGGCGAGAGAAGTTCCAGAGTACCAAGAACATCTAACGACCATATTAGGCACCATCAGTTGTCCTCCAGAAGTGGAGAAGCCCTCGGAGAACCTGACCAGCTCCAAAATTCTGGAGCATTACTTCACACATTTAGGGCGTCTAATAATTCTCCTGCCAACACAGGAAGGAATCATAAAACTGCTTGGATCTTTCCATGAATTGTTGACTCGACCAAAACGAGCGGATATTTCAGCAATAAAGTTGGGGTATTTGTACGAAGCTGTGGAGAAATCCAGTCTTCCAGTGGTTCTTTCAAGACTAATTAATAATTGCCCTCCAGAGATATCGAAGAACCTGCTGGAAGTCATTTGTGATTTAGTGATGACATCAGAAGTCTGTTGTGAGTCAGGATTTCTCAATGATTTATAAAATACTACAAGGATTTTTTCAAATTTCTGTTATAAAAAAAACACCTCAATGTTTGCGAATTTTCTAGACAATCGGAGAGTTTTCTAGAAAATTCAAGAGTTCTTTCGAATGCTCTGTGAAACTAAAGAATTTTCGCTGCTGGAAGTCATTTGTGATTTAGTGATGACATCAGAAGTCTGTTGTGAGTCCGGATTTCTCAATGATTTATAAAATACTACGAGGATTTTTTCAAATTGCTGCAATAAAAAAAACACCTCAATGTTTGCGAATTTTCTAGACAATCGGAGAGTTTTCTAGAAAATTCAAGAGTTCTTTCGAATGCTCTGTGAAACTAAAGAATTTTCGCTGCTGGAAGTCATTTGTGATTTAGTGATGACATCAGAAGTCTGTTGTGAGTCCGGATTTCTCAATGATTTATAAAATACTACGAGGATTTTTTCAAATTGCTGCAATAAAAAAAACACCTCAATGTTTGCGAATTTTCTAGACAATCGGAGAGTTTTCTAGAAAATTCAAGAGTTCTTTCGAATGCTCTGTGAAACTAAAGAATTTTCGCTGCTGGAAGTCATTTGTGATTTAGTGATGACATCAGAAGTCTGTTGTGAGTCCGGATTTCTCAATGATTTATAAAATACTACGAGGATTTTTTCAAATTGCTGCAATAAAAAAAACACCTCAATGTTTGCGAATTTTCTAGACAATCGGAGAGTTTTCTAGAAAATTCAAGAGTTCTTTCGAATGATCTGTGAACCTAAAGAATTTTTTTCGAAAGTTCTGTAAAACTGAAAATTTTCTCGAACTTTTTCAAAAACCAGATAATGTTGTGTTTTCTTTTCATTACAAAAAGATTTGTTTTAAAGTACATTTTTCTAAGCCTCTTCATTTAAAAATATTTACAAAATTGTTGTCACCAGAACTTTATTTCTGGATTTAACTGGTATTTATTTTCTGGAGCAGAGATAGCCATATCCATAAATTATCATTATCGTTAAATTATTAAGTAGTCAATTCAGTAGCAAAGCCGTAGACCGAGTCAAGTCGATTTTGACTATTGACCAGTTTTCTATGAATATCTCGGAATCTAAAAGAGATAGGACAATTTCCGTCATGACCTTTTTTATACCCCTCAATTGATTCTTCAAAGAAGGTAATGAAAAAAATTTCGCTATCTCTTTTAGATTCCGAGATATTCGTCAAAAACTGATCGAAAGTCAAAATCGACTTGACCTGGTTTACCGCTTGGCTTCTGAATTCGTTGTTATCACTCTTAAATTTTAATTATTGAAGTAATCATCAATTTGAATATTCAAATTCCGAATCAGTCATGTAATGAGGAAGGAATGAGTAATGTAGTGAAGAAAATTGACAATTATTTCGATAATCGAAAATCTCTTCTAAGAAATTTAGTACGGGAGGTTGGGGTAAAATGGGCACTTTTGACTTTTTTAAAAAATGTTAATGACGGGTTGAAATGTTGATAAAATGTAATAATTTTTTTTTCATTGCAAAGAACAATTCTTTCCCTTTGTGATGAGCCTAAACTGAGCTCAATTGATAAATTTGTTTCTCAGTTATGAGTAATTAAAACAAAAGTCTAAAGTGTCCATTTTACCCCACTCTCCCCTATTATCTACTCAATAGAAAATTGACATTTCCAAATTATTAACTTCCCGATAGGGGAGTTATTGTTTTTAAATATTTAATTCATCATCAATTGGAAAATTAGACTATCAATGATTTTACTATTTTTAAACTTCGATTACTATATTTAAATCTTAATCAATGTAAGTCGGAGATTATTTTAATATTGAAAAATCCGAAGATTGACGGCTATCCGTCTAGAGTAAAATTTCCCGTTTTAGGTCATGAAATGCTGAGAGAAAATATTCTGAACTCCCTTTTACCAAAATTAGAACATTCATTCAAGAAATTTCACGAAAAAAACAACAAAAATGAGGTAATCCTCACAATACGAGTCATTTGGGCATTGATGAGGTCGGCTCAACCATCGGAAGACTTTCCTTCAGGTTTACGACATATATCTCCTCCAAACCGTGACATTACGAGGCATGTTAATCCATTCATCCATAAAATCATTCATAAAATCAATTGAATTCACGAGGAAATCCGTTTTATTTCATTCATTTCAGGTCCTTGAAAAATGTTTTCGTGTCAAGTGTTCGTGAATCGTCATTAAACTCTCATCTAAAGAAGATTCGAAATGATCTTGTGATGATAATCCTCGCTGGATTGGTGGCAATGCCCTCGTGGAACCTCGTCAGTTCAGGATTAGCAACAGAAATCATAATCCTATTAAAATCCTCTCAAGTTCCTTCAACTCAAGAAGATCTATTCTTCGTGAAAACTCTCCTAGCTCTCCTCTGCCATCTCGCTGCCTCCCCCTTCTGCATTTCCGTAATTTCATCCCCGTAAATTCTTTCGAGCTGAAGTTGAACTGAATTTTCCACAGATGATGAGGGAAAAGGAAGTGATCTGTGGGGTTTTGCGACTCCTGTGCATCGACGAGGAGTCGAAAATCCCGGGAAGTTCTTCCCATAATTCTCACTTGGTTCCGTACGTGATGAGGACGTTGTCGACACTTGTGCCTGAGCTGTGGGAAGATTTCGTCAAGCTCCAGGGGCCAAAGAAGCTTCTAAGAATCTTGGAATGGAGTATGAGGATCGAGTCGAACCCCTCGATTCTCATGGAATCATTGAAAGCTCTCTGTTTTATAATATCGCTTCACAACCAAGATTTAGTGATACAGTTCAAAACTGCAGGGATTATTAATCTACTCTTCAGTGAGTAATTTTGTGGTAGAGTCACAACAGGAATTTAACCTTAGTCTGGTCGCCAAACGCGTCCCTGCGACTTTGGGCACCTCCGCGGGGATTCCCCGCCGTGTTATGTAGGCTTTAGCGTTGCCGAATTCACTCTACACTGCCCGGGCGCGTTTAGCGAGTTTTCGGCAACGTCGCGTCATGGCAAATTTCATTTAAGGGGAAACGGAATCCCTGCGGTTATAGGAATCTTTAGAATTGGGTTTTCTCCTGCAATTATTATTTTTTATTCATTAAACTACTTCATTAACTCAACAATGCGATAATCGAGTCGATTAAGTAATTTCATAGATAGAAATTAATAATTGTAGGAGAACACATAATTCTAAGATTTGATGTAGACAAAGGGGGTCCGTCTCTCGTTAACATGGAAAAAATGATTTGTCTGTCTGAAATAATTTTTTTCTTTAGGAATTTTGGGAAATATGTTATTCTTAAAACTACTATAATTTTTTAGACACTTCAATTGACCAAGTCAAATTTTTTTGAATTTTTCCGGTTAGTCAGTCAATTGTAGTTGACGAAAAACGACATGCGGCGGGGTTTCCTTCATAGGGTGAACAATCCAGGGTTAACACTCCGTTGATTGCGGAAAGTTACGAATGCCGTTGGTTGCACCGCCCCAGCATAAATCGACATAATGATAAATTTGAAAGAAGAAGTCCCGTGAGATTTTTTATGTTCAGTGTCAACCTTTAATTATGTATTCATGCTCAAAGTTGCTATGTTTTCATAAAAATTCGCCTCATACGCGGTACACGGCTGGAAGTTTCGGAATAAAAATTTGAAGATCTAACTACTTATGATATTGTTGAATACGAGCCATTCCACTAAGAATGAGTATTTATGAAAAGATTTTGGGGCGAAATAAATCATAAAAAGAAACATGAAAAAGGAGTGACACGTACGTGGACTAGGGATCGTGCATGAAAGTGGTTGAGAGGGCGGAAGAGAACAAAAAGGGAGCAATATTTTTCTGCATTTTAAAATGAGATGTCAATTATTTTCAAATTTTTCTGAGGCTTTACTATAGTGCAATTTAAAAAATCGGAAAAAGTGCGGCGCGGCGCTCATACACTAAGAAAAAATAGATATAATATCACAAAAATCATTTCTTGAGCGAAAAACATCGCACACATATTTGATCAATGTATGGTAGGTTTTAGACAAGAAATCCGTGCTCTTCGGGCTAAGGAGGAAGTTACTGAATGAAAAGATGTCTTTTTTCGAAATGAGATAATATTCCTTAAAAGACAAGGATAGTTTGACAGAAGGAAAAGAAGATATTGCTTCCCTTCACGGAGAGAACTATTCAATAAAAATTACGTATCTTTTCCGTAATTCTGGAGCGAAATGTGGTTGTAGGAACTTTTACGGAACTGTCACGGAATTTTTCACGGAGCGTTCCGTAATTTTTATCTGAATCTCCTGTGAAAAATTACGATACCGTTTCTAAAATTTTCTGAGTCGATTCCGTAATCGGTAAGCGAATTGTGAGTTCCGAAATTTTTACTGAACATTTCTCTCCGTGTTCAAACTCAAAGCTATTAAGCGTAAGCGACGGTTATATTTTTTTAATATCTGGAGGTTTTCCTCTGCATAAACTCTCTATTCATTCAGTATGAAAGTCTCTGATTCATGATTCACTGACTCGAAGTTTTTAATATTTTCCGTCATTTCCTCATCTTCTGACACGAAAAAACCGATTTCTCGTGGCAAGAAATTCTCACTTTATCATGAAATGTTCATGTTCAAGTCACGAACACTACACCGGAATCTGACATTGTCTGCCGCTTTATCCGGAATTCTTATCCCAAGAAATTGATCCTCAAGAGATATTTCGCGCAAGAAATTAGTCTTGTGATACTATAACGATATTTCTCTCAGTGTAGCGCGGCCAACGGATCGTTAACAAGATAGATTACTTCCAAAGATATTAAAAAAAGGATTCCCTTCTTCTCCCAGAACTAATCAACAGACTTCTAATTCTCGCCGAGTTAACTCTCCAGACCCAGAGCACGCTAGCCCTCCTCCTAACAACCCTCGAGTTCCTCCAGAAACCCGACAGTTCCCCCCACTCCACCTCCTCCTCCGACTCCCTAAGAATCCCCCAAAACCTCCTCCAGCGATTTTCCCAGCAAACCCCCCAGGACTTCGTCATCGACGACAAATTGCTCATCTCCCTGGGCTCCTACACCTGGACCTGCATCATCTCCTCGCCGCCGACCCTCAAACGATTCATAGAAAACGGAGGAACGTACCTGATCCTCGACTGCCTCGAGGCGTCCCCTCGCCTGCCCCAGACCGTCTTCCTGGGGATTTTATCAGACATGTGCCTGGATCCCCACTGCATCCCCCACCTCAGCACCTGGAGAGGTCTCGACAAGTCCAAGGGACTGCTGTCACTGCTATCAAAAATCTGGAGGGACGAGGAGCGACGAATTGGCGTCAAGAGGACGTCCACTGGATGCGTCGAGGATATTGAACTCCCCCTGATGGGCCGGACCCAGTGGAGGAATTCCTTCTACACAAAGACCATTGAGAACTACTCTCCGACGATGGAGTCATTGTTGGGATCGGCCAGACCGAAAATCTACAGCATCCGGAAGCAGTTGCTGGCGAATTCCGAGGTCTACGAGAGGGCGAGGGATCATTACAAGATTTTAACCGATGATCTGCCCCCCGAGGACTCGATAACCCTCTGCATCGTCGACCAGTTCTTCAGGTTCACGAGGGGTCAGGTCTGGGGGGAGGTGCTGCGGTATCTGAAGCAGAAGGGGGTCAATCCCCTGGGGGCCGACGGGGAGATGCTCCTGGTGATGTGCCAGAGGCATCGAGAGTGCGGGCTTTACGTCAGGGATTGTCAGGAGAGGATTATCTGGGAGGAGAAGATGAAGGAGCGGCGCAAGGAGGTGGAGGACATCGCGAGGATCAGGGATGCCAGGCTGACTGCAGCGTTGGAAGCTGCTAAGACTATTGATTTGGTCGAGAGGACCGCGGATAGGGGGTACAGGGTTGGGAGGAGGAATCAACAGAAGGCGGAGGTTGAGGGGGGATTGAGATTTCCGGAAGGGGCGCCTGGGGATTGCCATAGGACGTACCCGGAGGGGTGGAATGTTACTGTAAGTTTTGGGGGGGCGATTTATTTGTTGGGTCACTGGAGTGGGAGATGACGAAATTTCAGTGGATCCAACCACGAAAAAATATAAAATGATGAATTATTTATTATTTTATTTGTTTGTTTATTCATTTGTTAATTAATTAATTAATTAGTTTATTTATTTATTCATTTATTTATTTAACAATTGCCTTTAAGGGGTCACGTATGAATGAATTCTATAGAAAACCTAGCGAATTCGCCAGAAAATTCTATTGGATATTCGGTAAGAAAAAGTTAATAGATTTCGAATTTCGGTTTGAATTTTTCTCTAGAGATTTTTTCTATAAGAATGCTTGGCATCAATTTTCTAAGTTTTTTCCACTCGGATTCTGTAATGCAAAACTAAATAAAATTCAATGGAAAAAACTTTGAAAATTTGAATTGTAATAGAAAAAATCTCAAGAGAAAAATTGGAACAGAAATTCAAAGTATTTTGAGTTTTTTAATAGAATTTATGCCACTCATGCCTGAAACCGGCGGGATTACACACTCGACGCTTCGCGTCTCGTGTCCAATTCAGCCGGTTTCAGGCTTCGTGACATAACATTTTGTTCAGTACTTGTGGGGAAATTTCGCCCTTAACGTGTGTGGTTACATCACTCGCCTTCGGTTCATGCTGTAAACCCCACACACGTTAAAGACGATATTGCCCCACATGTACTGAAATATACTATTAAATAGAAATCCTATTAAAACCCCATAGAATTCCTATAGAATTCTAATAGAATTTTACAACGAATTCGTTATGTTTTCTATTGAATTTTTTCATACGTGTATAACTGAATAAATATAAATAGGGGAGGTTGGGGTAAAACGGATACTTTTGACTTTTTTTTAATGTTAATGAGGGGTTGAGATGTTGATAAAATTCAATATTTTTTTTCAATACAAAGAACAATTCTTTCCCTTTGTGGCGAGCCGAAACTGAGCTCAATTAATAAATTTGTTTCTGAGTTATGAATAATTTTAAAAAAGTCTAAAGTGTCCATTTTACCCCACCCACCCCTATATTTGTTCCGAATGAATAAATCAGGGATATCAGGGAACTTTTTTTGTAGCTCAATAAATTTGTAACAAAAGTATCTCTCGGAATATTTCCCTGAAACTGATTGTTGGATAATTCAGTAATTAATAATAGGATGAGAGAACTCAACTTGTTTAGTTTCATTCTTTAATTTTTGCCTACATCTTCCCTGAATTAATAATTTTAAATTCACATTTGCAGACGATTTTAAACCAAACACACAGAATAAAAACCGCTCGATCGTACTCTGAATGTGATGAAGCTGGGAGAGTTTCACCAGCGAGCTCAACACCTCCAATTTCCTACGACTTTTCTCACGAAGATTGGGATTATTAATAAAGAAAGTGTAGTCTTGAGTTGATGGGTTTTCGAATTTTTTCGAAGAAGTAAAGGTTGAAGACGGACGTCAATCATGATAACGAACAGAAGATGTCTTTTAAACGCACCGAGAACCAAGAAAATTATTCCACATCAATTGAAAGAAATTTCTTATAGTTAACAAATAAATTGTCTCCTTATATTTCGTCAAAATCACTCTTCTTCTTCCATAATTACCCAACCAACGAATATTTCTGTAGCCAAAGAAGAGATCTAGATCCAGATGATTTATTTATTTATTTATTATTTATAATTTTTTTATTTAGTTATTTATTTTTTCATTTATTCAATTCAAATGAACCATTTTTCTACCTGGAAATATTTATACTATTTTATTATTATTGAGCCACGGAAAACAAGAAATTTTTTCAATTAATCAAAAACCCTGTTTCGAGATTCAAAATTTAACTCTCCAGCTGTAGTTATCATTGAAACGTAAGTTCCTCGGGTTTTTTTCAACCCGACATCGCTGTTACAAACTCGGGCCTTCAATTGAATTGAACGATTTTCGAGATATTTCGAGATCGATTTCCTTTCTCCTTTTTACGATAGGAGATTTTTTTCAGTAAAAACGACAAGAAAAAACAATTATTGTTAAAAATGTTTTTAATTTTTTTTTCCTCTGTCATGAGAAAAACATGAATTTTTTAAATCATCGATGTTTTTTCCAGAAAAATTGATTGACAACATCGATATTTTTTAAAACATAACCCATCCCTAAGTTCAACTCATTATTCAAATCTGGAATTTAAACAATTCCCTTCATTACCCACCTCACCTCCGCCAGATGTCGCCCCCACCCCCTTTTCTTCTCGTATTTTCGAGAAGCTCAAGATAGCAGGCGCGCATAACGGGTACCCCCCGCCAAATGGAAGAGTTTCTCATATTCCTCCTGTCGGCAGTTCGTACCATCATGCCGTACGACCAACAGCCCGGAGCTCTTGCAGTACCGGTTTAAAGTTCCCGCAGTCGAGTTCCCACAAGAATAATCCATCGTTTTTCCCCCAGTGTTGCTAGAAAACCAGCCGCTGAAATCTCCCCTCCCCCGTCCCCAAATCCCAGGACGAGCCGAATAAATCCCGCATAATCAAAAAAAGTTTGAAAGAGTTGAAAAATTGAAAAAAATAGACAGTGCGCGAGGGGGGAGGAGCGACCTCGAGGGACGGCTAGTTTGAAGGACGTCGGCTCCTTCAGGGAATCAAAACAAATAAAAAACATTTTGTTGAGAAAAAACTCTTCCGTGGGGTCGAATTGAAGTGCCTTAAACCGTCCCGGGGAAAGGAAAGGATTAATTCCGTCTCACTTTATTTCTTCACGATTGGGTGACTCTGTCTGTTGATCAGTTTTAAAAGCGAAAAATATGGCGTGTGAACAGTGGTGTTTCTTAGCCCGTGGGTGTATCGTTGGATTCACATTGTGCCTTGTTGTTGGATCAAGCCTCGGAGACTCAGGTGAGTCTTCAATATCCACATTTCCACACAGGGAAGAGAAAAATTCGTATGCGCGGCGGCGGGGGGTGAGGAGATTGTCTGGGGGAGGGGAAACGTGTCTGAGTTCTACACCCGCACTGGGATCATCTCTTTTGTTCAATTTGTTTTGAGCTCTTGGAACTTTCTTCCGTCGATGTGAGGGCTATCAACGGTAATTTATTATTGCGCCTGATGAGCTAGGGGCCGGGGGCTGCGGGGGGTAATTACGGCTTCCGGGTTTTGTTTCATTTCGTTATGCCTTGCAGGTTCAATTATTTTCGAAATTATTGTCTCGGTGATGAGTACACCCAAAAAAATAGGTTTTATTTTGAGACTTGTGATGTCAAATTGAGAGTTAAATCTCAGGCCTTAAATCTAGAGGCCTTTCGGAGTCGCAAAGCGAGACTTCAGAAAAAATGCGATTTTCAATCGCAAATTGAAACTTACTGAAGTGCCCTTAAGGTTTTTCCCATCTTATGAGAAAACGGTTTTTACGATGTTCTTGAAAAATTAATCCGTGACAGATTGATAAATTCTGAATGCGGTGATTTTTTTGTAAAATTTTTTACTACATAGTGTCTCCGATATTCACCTCTAAAAATTGGAAATTTCGTGAAAGCATTTTTTATTGGATTCAGAAAATGAATTAACAAATAAGTTCTCATTTGATTCAAACAGTTATTGTTGATTGCATGAGAATAGAAAAACTCAATAACTTATGAGACTGCAATAAATTGTTATTATTATTATTATTATTACGCTCCGCGTGCCTAAAAGTTCAATTTCCGCCACACTGTGATGAAAAATATTGTTCGTAACTCGTGAAAAAATGTTTTTTAGCTCATGGGATTATATCACTCGCCTTCGGCTCGTGATATAAACCTCCCACTCGCCAAAAAACACTTTTTTGCACTCGTTACGAAATATACTATTTCGTCCTCATGACGAAATATCCTATTTTGTCACGATGGCTGTAAAGCGCTGCCTTACGGCCGGAATGATGAAAAATATCGTTCGCGCCTAGTGCCACAGGGGTTTTCGACGCGGAAATATACAATTTTTGACCCGTGGGAGGTGTGTAGCGCTCGCCGAAAAAAAGTGCTACCCTCTGTTGATCCCTAATCTTTATCACGATATGCGAAAAGTGGAATTTTGCGTACGCGGAGCGTGAATGATCAGTGAACAAGCTGCCTCGATATTCCGTAATTCTGAGTAGTATGAGGCATGACGTTTATGCTTTGGTTTTCAAGTCTAAATAGAGTTGAATGAATAGGACCAATTGAGTGCACGTCACCAGAGGTCCAGGGCGTTGCACCCCTTTGTTATTTATGCAGTTCCTCCGAGAATTGGTAGAGCGGATGCACGGAGGGAATATAAAATTAAAAATTACAATGTGAACATAGTAATGGAGGGTCATTGAAAAGCAATTTTAAAATTAGATAGTTAATCTAATTTTGAAGTTGAAAGAAATTATTAACACTGCTAGAAAACTACTCTTGAAATTTCAAGTGAAAAAGCTTGAAATTTTTAACAAAAAGTTACATGAAATTTCTGTACATTTCTTCATTGACAAATTAGTTAATTTCTTGAATATTCAAGCAATTCTCGATTCTCAGGTCCATACGACACTGAAGCCCCCAGCCCTTCGATGAAATGTTGATAGAAAAATTTTATTTATACATCCTTCAATGAATTTCGAACAACGCAGTTTAAGAACCCGTCGGAAAACTCACTTTCGGGAAATTCATGAAAAATTCAAAATTTTTAACAATCATCATAAAAATCGCATCAACCAATGTAGATAGTGGGAAGTCTAGCACTCGAATACCCTATCTATCGGACGGGATAATTTGACGCATGACATTCAAAGATATTCCCGGAATTCTGATTTTCGAAAAATACAAAATTTTTGCAAATTTTCAAATAAATCAAACTAACGATTATTACTATCGCCTTCATCTTCGAACTCGGTCAAAAAGATATCCAAACAATTTTTTTACACCATCATTCAACCAATTCAAAACTTTTTTTAGTTATCGTGGGACAACCGATTTTCAAAAAAATTCGAAAATTAAAGAACTAATCGATAAATTCAATTTTAATTAATGGCGACCGATAGGGCTCAAAAAATTCAAAACTTAAATTTGAACGATTACAAAGCTTCCATTCGGAAGCAAAAATAATTTTTCATCACGCTGTGACGAAAAGTGAACTTTTCGGCACGCTCCGCGTGCCTAAAAGTCCAATTTCCGCCACATTGTGATGAAAAATATTGTTCGTAACTCGTGAAAAAATGTTTTTTAGCTCTCGGGATTATATCACGAGCCGAAGGCGAGTAACCTCCCACTCGCCAAAATAGTTATTTTCATCACAAGGCCCACAAAGTATTTTCTTCGGCTCGGCCTACAAAGCCACATTCGTCAGAAAATACTTTTGGACCGTGTGATGAATGCAATTTTTCGTCAGAAGGCCCGTAAACCGCGATCAAACCGAGCGAAGCGAGGTTAGAATCGCGGTTTACCGGGTCTTCTCACGAAAAAAACTTTTTTGCACTCGTAACAAAATATACTATTATTTTTTTCCTCGTCTTCTCAACGTATTAAATCAAGAGTAAAAAGAATAAAATTTCTTTTTCACTTATTGACCGGTTTGTTTATATAAAACCCCATCACCCACATGAATCCCAAATTCTTTGCTAATTAATTTTTTTTCATAAATTCCTCTACAAAAAGTCTCTGGACATTGTTTTGTATTATTCAACACATGTGAATCTTGTGATGACTCGACTCGAATGTTAGATGAAATCAAGATAGACTCTCGATTCCTCAATCATTGTAAATGAGTCTTGAAGTATTACGTGTACTTTGATCCATACGTAGTTCAGAAATCGATGAGAAAATAACTATTACGACTACCGCGTATAGTCGTACTTTTATGCCCAACAGACATGAGTTCGAGTACGAAGAAACACCTGTTTTACCACGTCTTTGTGTTTGAATAATCTGTTTTGAGGAGAATTGGAACGTGAGCCTGAGAACGAGAATTATGATTTATATGGGCATGTGTATCGAGGCCGTATGGAATCGTATTAGATTCGAGTCTCTGCGAGGAATTGGAGGGGATGCTTGTCAGTTTGAACAGCCGCATAGTCGCTGAGGGGTTTGTGACGCACGAGGGGGAAAATAAACCTCAATTATTTGAGTTGAATGTCTTTCTATCAATCTATCATTCGTCCTTCATTTCCAGTGGATTATCCCCTCACTCAGTCATCTCCCTCCATGACTAGACCGAAATTGGGAAATGTTTGAGATTGATGTGAGCATTATTTTGTGAATATATTCGGAGTAAACTGGGTTAACGAAATTTATCACAAGGATCTTTTTGTAGAGAAATTCGAAGGCTACACGAAGGTCTCCTGAAGAAAATTCATTAAGGTATTTGTAGCGTGGTCAGGGGAGGTCGACAAAAAGTCAAGAAAATGATTTTTTTTTTATACATTCTTTGATTTTTTCAAAACCCCTGTGCAAAATCCCAGATAGCCTAGGAGAAACCGGAAAACACAGGAATTTTTCTAAAAAAAAAATGCATTTTAACACGAACTCTTATGGGACTTTCGAAGAAAAAGTAAAAATGGAAAAAAATCGCAATTTTCCTGAAATTTCGCAATTGGATGGAGCTTTCAGGGAGGAATATAAAAAAAAATCGAAGTCGCCTGGGAGAATTTTTTAAAAGGGATAATTAAAAAACCCATGAAAAATAGGAATTCTGCGTGTGCAGCTCAAATTTTTTTTGTAACCCTTGAAATTCCCTATGAAAAAATCTCCGGATAATCCCACCATTTACTGCTTCGCTTGGAAGATATTGTTGCAAAATCATGTGAGCGTCAATTCTTCAGTCAGAGTGGAGTTGACAATTCACGCGCTTATCATTCGACAAAATATCTCAGGATGAAGACACTTGAAAAAAAATGTATCCAAACTACTTTTTTACAGTCCTCTAAATTCCCCATAAAATTCACCTGATAAATTTTCATTGAATATCCGGATAACTTCGACATTCACGTTTCGATGATTTCATAAATATCCCAGAAATAAAGAGCTTTACAAAAATTTACATACAAACCTCCTTTGTACCTCTCCCAAATCTTCCAATAAATCTCCATAAACCTCTTCATTCCCAAGATAATCCCGCTGGAATCTCCAACCCAAGAATAATTTCCATAAAATGAAAAATATTTTAATAAAAACTTTCACTCACGAAAAATCCCGAGCCCCCCCGTTTCCTCAAAATAACTGGCGCCTGCGTCTTATCAACCTGTCAGGTTACGCTGTTAACTTGAATAAAAAAACATCCCAAAGACCTTCTACGGTCCGGTTCTCTCAGCTCTCCGAGCGTTTAACGACTGTGTTACGGAAAATGGGTCGATCAGGCGTGTTTTAACCCGTCCAGTAAGAATTCACTTCTTGCCATTTTTCTTTTTCGTTTAGTTTCATTCTCATATCGATTCCACTTGCAGTCCATCTACTTGAATAATCGCGTGTCAGTGCAGTGTGGCTGGGCGGCGGGGGGTGGGGGAGAGAGAGAGAGGAGCGAGAGTTTTTTTAAAAGGGGCCTCAAGTGATGGAAATCCAGGGACCGTTCTCCACTGGCGCTGGAGAGGTGACTCATTCCACCTACTATACCTGAATCTGTATAGTCAATAGTCAAGTTGATTCTACTCACGAGTCCCGGCAATCTTCGATGAAAAACAATGAGAGAAAATTACCATTATCAATCGTCAGGTTCATTTCCATCGCTTTAGGCACAATATTCTCGGAAGATTGAGGTGATTAAAGTGGTGGGTATAGTTTTGTGAGGTTTGTACCATGGGTTTATCGATTTTCTGTTATTGGGGGGCGTAATAGAACTGGAGAAAACAGGACACGTCGATTTTTACGGACTGGTGGGGCTTTGTATAGAATAGAACGGAATATTTTATTTTA